CTGGTGCTCCCTGTCTCACCCTCAGCAGGTCTGGCTCTCCCTGTCTCACCCTCAGCAGGTCTGGTGCTCCCTGTCTCACCCTCAGCAGGTCTGGCTCTCCCTGTCTCACTCTCAGCAGGTCTGGTGCTCCCTGTCTCACCCTCAGCAGGTCTGGCTCTCCCTGTCTCACTCTCAGCAGGTCTGGTGCTCCCTGTCTCACCCTCAGCAGGTCTGGCTCTCCCTGTCTCACTCTCAGCAGGTCTGGCTCTCCCTGTCTCACCCTCAACTGGTTCCTGCTGAACTTCATCTGATCTCTAATATAAAAACAGTGGACAGGAATAAGGAGTAAAAATACTGTTGGAGGACTAGTGCAACATTAAAATCATGGTTGTTATAGTATTATTTAGTGGTGTTCACTTGTTATCATGCTCGAATCTTCCTCTCATCATCAACCATCTAAAATCTCACTCCACTGTAGCACCTACCTGCACCTCAGCAGGTCTGGCTCTCCCTGTCTCACCCTCAGCAGGTCTGGCGCTGCCTGTCTCACCCTCAGCAGGTCTGGCGCTGCCTGTCTCACCTTCTTCATCATTTTCCTGCTGAGCTTCCTCTGGTCTCTTATATGAAAAAAGTGACATGAATAAGGTTTACAAATGAAATGTGATGAGAATGTCACAAACAAGCAACAATCACACTTACAAACTCCATTTCTATGTGGAGATTCTACTTTTTTATTTATTTCGTGTCAAATGGTTTTTGTCTGTTACTGTAAAATTCGCCATTTTTTGTTGACTAGTAGTGTTGTTTAATGTTTAATGCTAACTAGCAAGATGTTTACGCTAGTCAGCCATTTTAGCGTTTGACCAGAAATATACTCTTGGACTAAATTATTACCAACTTACAATTCCTTTCTTTATTTTTTTGCCCATGAGAAGAACTCGCTGAGCTGCTGCCGTCTGTCTCTGACACCTGTCTGCCCCGGCTCTGACTCCTGCTTCACTCAGCCAGCCTGTCTAACTCCCTGAGGGTAGGGGCTGTGTCAGAGAGAATTCCGCGGTGTCTTTCAAAATAAAAGCTTGCGAGTCAAATATTTCAAAATCAATCTTTTTCTTCTCCACGTTATTGGGGGGACAAATGCGCGTTTGTCCAATATTGGAGGGGACACGTCCCACCCATTCCCCACCCCCGGTTCCTACGCCCTTCACAGACACAAACTCAGGTAAAGTCGAACACAATGAGGGAGTTCATGAAACGACAAGTGATAAAAATGTACAAAATGACATACCAGATGAGCATGAACCAAAGGTGTCAGATGCAGAAAAAGAAGTACCTGGTTTTAGAAGGAATCCTACTAGGGAGAAAAGAAAACCCAGTCACCTAAAGGATTTTATAACTGATCATTGTGGTAGCGATGAAGTTTACACTACCATAGACTATTGTTACCGAGTGGTTTGTGGCATCCCAAACACATGTGAGGAAGCTATGGGATCAGTTAACTCCAAGAAATGGGTAAAAGCTATGGATGAAGAAGTAAAATCCTTAAAAGAAAACAACACTTTCACCCTTACCACTTTACCAAAAGGAAAGAAAACCATGGGAGGAAAGTGGGTTCATTCAGTCAAAAGTGACAGCGAAGGACAGGACAGATACAAAGCAAGGTTTGTAGCCCGTGGTTTCAGTCAGAGAATGGGAAAAGATTATGGCGAGACATTCTCTCCAACCGCTAACTTGACCAGCATAAGAGTTCTTCTACAGAAAGCAGCACAGGAGAATCTGTTACTCAACCAAATGGATGTGAAAACAGCGTATTTACATGCTCCCATCGACTATGAGATCTACGTTGATCAGCTAAAAGGTTATGAAGAAGGCGAAGGTTTGGTGTGTAAACTAAAGAAATCCTTGTGTGGGTTAAAGCAATCCGGTCAAAACTGGAACAAGATCCTGCACGATAACTTGACTGTAAACAATTTTAAGCAAAACCCCGCAGATCACTGTGTGTACACCAAGGAAACAGAACAAGGAAAAATAATTATGATTATTTGGGTTGATGACTTAATAATTGCGGCAAGCAATGAAAACGAAATGGAAGAAGTGAAAAAAATGCTCTCAACCAGATTTAAGATGAAGAATTTGGGCAGACCTGAGCATTTTCTGGGTATTGATTTCACTCAGCCTGATGGATGTCCTCACAAGAAACATACGTTAACAAAATACTGACAAGGTTTAACATGGAGAACTGTAAGCCCAGGGAAACTCCGTGTGAACAAACGTTGAGTTACACAGGAGATGCTACTAGGATGGAAGATGTGAAGATGTATAGGGAGGCTGTTGGAAGTCTTATATATCTTGTAACATGTACCCGTCCAGATTTGAGTTTTGTGGTCAGCAAATTGTCTCAACATCTCCAGGAACCAACGGAAGAACAGTGGATGACTGTAAAACATGTACTGAGATACCTAAAGGGAACAAAAGGCAAACAGTTGTGCTTTAGGAGAAACAGTGAAAATCTAGGTTTAATAGCCTACAGTGATGCTGACTGGGCAGGAGACAAAAATGATAGACGCAGTACTTCGGGTTATTGTGTCAGTTTGTGTCTCTGGTTTCATGGAAAACCAAGAAGCAACCTACTGTGGCGCTTTCTACCTGTGAAGCAGAATATATAGCTCTAGCTTCCACAATGCAAGAGTGTATATATTTAGAACAACTTTTGAGAGGTATAGACAACTACAAATACACACAGACAGTGATGTGTGAGGACAACCAGGGGACGATCGCTTTGGCTAATAACCCTGCGAGTCGACAAAGGTGCAAACATGCGGACATTAAATATCATTTTGTAAGGTCCATTGTAAATGAGAGAAAAAGGTCTCTGTTATATTGCACTACTGAAGAGATGGCTGCAGACATGATGACCAAGCCTGTTTCTGGGTTAAAACTTGGAAAGTTTGCAGGTATTTTGTTTGGTGCTTAGAAGAGATAAAGAGGGGAAAACAAGATATTAAAACCAATCTGGTTGTTTGTTTGTTTTTGTTTTTTTGAAGACTTGAGCAACATGAGCTCAAGAGGGGGTGTTGAGATGTTCAAATTTGTGTACTCATGTTCTAAGCTGTGTGAACTGACGTGTTATTGAGAAGGTTGTGCTTTTAGTTTTTCACCACCAGAGGGGCACGCACACTGCGTCAGTGCGTTGTTGAGGAGAACGTGGTCTCCGGTGTGGATGTTAAAATGTGTGCGTCGCAGTTCTAAAATAAAAGACAAGAAGAAAGCATTTTTGGTCCTATCTTTTCTTTCTTCGAGTTCAACGTTGTTGATGCTGCAACACTCAACAAACCTGAATTTTAAAACACATTAATCAAACAACTAAAATAGCATTTTTTCATTTACGTAACATTTCTAAAATCAAACATTTCATCTCAAGAACTGACCTCAAAAAGCTAATCCATGCATTCATAACCAGCAGGCTCGATTATTGTAATGGTCTTTTAATTGCCCTTCCTCAGTACGCTATTTACAGACTGCAACTGATTCTGAATGCGGCTGCTCGTGTTCTGACTGGTACAAAGAATTCTGAACACATTACTCCTGTTTTAAGATCTCTGCATTGGCTACCAGTTGAAAAACGACTTGATTTTAAAATCCAACTGCTTGTATATAACGCTCTCAATGGCCACGCACCACAATATATTACAGACATGCTAGTACCTTATAGTACCGGTCAGACCACTCCAGTCTGCAGATCAGGGCAATCTGGTGATACCGCGTCAGGGGAAGCTGCCTTCAGTGTCTATGCACCTAAGATCTGGAATACTCTGCCTTTAGAGAAGAGGCAAGCAGCTACAACAAATATTTTTAGGAGAGATTTGAAAACCTTTTTATTTGAACAAACATGTGGCTAGGTTGTTTCATTTCTAATTTATTTCCTCATTTCATAGATATGGTTTTATTCATAAATAAGTTCTTACAATTATGTTTTATGGCTGTGCATGGATGTGTGCAAATGCGTGTATAAATGTTTGTGTGCGTGTGTATGTGTGCGTGCATGTTTGAATGTGTAGATTTTAGTTTCATGAGTATATTTTAATATGTAAACACCGATCGTTTTTAAGGGTGTAAATATTTTATAATTGTTTTATTTAGTCTCTTTTACCGTTAAGAACATTGAGTTGTCGTACAGGAAATGTGCTCTATAAATAAAGTCATTCATTCCTAACGCCTAGTGACGAAGCTAGCTACATTTCTGAGGACCCTTAGCTACTTTCTGTAGAACTTTCTTCTAGATATTTCCTGCTAATTAGCAACAAAATAGCCATTTTCACTCCGAACCGTTCTTTGGTTTGACGTTGTTTCAGCTGTCATCAAGGATATAAATGTTACAGATACTGTGAATGTTACTAGAGTGTAGCTCACCTAGTAAGATGTCTGACTCTCATGCAGAAGACCTGGGTTTGATTCTGGATGTGAACATAGTTTATTTAGAGTTTATTTTTTACATTAATGGTATATTTTTTTACAGTAAGATGCCCAAATTTTTATTTGAGACTCGCCGAACGGCATTGAATTCACAGATAAAAAAGATGTGGGTTCAACTTTCATTTTGGAACAATTTTTCAAGCAAGGGAAGGGAATGATCTGAGCATGCAGGAGGACTGACCCATCATAAACCTTTGTCGGCTGTGCTGAAGAGAAAGGTACAGAACCACATTATTTAATTAATTAGCTGCGCGTTCTCCTGTCCTCTGTCCTCCGGGCCACACACACACACACACACACACAGGACTGTCTCATGCTGTAATTTTCGTTAAGGAGTGTGCACGTACAGCAAGCGTGCCTCGTGCACGAGCCTGCTATTGAAGCTGCCGTTACGCTTGTGGCCTGAGGGGGCAATCATGAGCATAAAAATTCAAAAGTCCGTAAAGTCCCTTTAAATCAATATGAGCAGAATTTTGAATTCAGGGTGAGGGGGAAAAAAAGGATTATGAAATACAAACAAGGTGAAATCAAGTCAAACCTTAAACGGTTGATCCTTTGAACAGGACACACCTCTAGTTACTTTATTGTTTTTACAGTCATTGCCGTGTTACACGTTATCATGCCCTCTCAAAGCTGCAAACAGAAAAACAGGTAAGAACAATTCTGATAGCTGTAAATAAGACACAGCTGATTCATTCACTACTGCATTTCAACATGTTGAGATAATTTGTGTAAAGTTGGTTTTAAGGAACTAAAGTACAGACTTTTCTGCAATAAGTCCTATAAAGTCATTACATTTATTATAAGGAATGTCCACTTCTGTTACATTAGCTTCTCAAACACTGCAAGTATATAAAAAATCAATAACCACATCTTTTATTATCTTTGGCACTCACATTTTTAAAAAGATGTGTTAATTTACTGCAATCAAAAATGTTATTATTTAAAAGAATAAAGTTTCCCCTCATGTGTTACTCTGGAAATACCTGGTTTCATTTCAATTGTTTTTAAATGGCACAAACCGCTGGAGATCTACCATTTACATCCTCCTGTCTTAAAGCTATTTTAAAATATATGAATGCAGTAGTTTATCTAAGAAAACTGTTTTATAACATCAGGAAAAAAAGCTCCGCTCTCCAAGTGATTTTTATTGTGACAAACATTAAAAACTGTAGTTTGGACTTAAATCATCCAAACAGAGCTGACCCCCCCAAGCTTCAACCTAGAGCTCGGTTAAACCATTCGTTATCCTTAGTTTCTACAGGGGGGGCTCTGAAAATATTCATCATTGTATTTATATTTCTAGTAGTTTTTAGATTATGATTGGCAGAATAACTCATCGTTTTTGTTGTTTCTACTTTATAATTATGTAAAGAAGTGAAGAAAACAAACTTAAAAACAAAAACGACTAATTAACAGACCAACAGGTGCTTTAATTTATCATAAAAGTGCTGAATCATCTTTGTGCTTTAGTCTAATGCTAGCAGTCGCTGTGGGAGCAGCCAGATTCATGCACTTCGTAAATCCGTGACTTCAAATGCATTACCGTGTACAGAGAGGTCTCTCTCCATTAGCACAGTTTAGATAATAAGAAAATAAAATCACAAGGCAGATGTGGGCAGCTCGTTGACACGTGGCATCACAGAGAACACTGTTTTATATTAAAACTCTTTCTGTGCATAAATATATTTCTAACACCAAAGGCACCCTGAGCAGTCGTTTCTACTTGTGCATTTCTGGGAACTAAAACGACACGAGGCGCTGTTGACTTCAAAACATTTCCAGTTAGTTGATCATAATAAGTTCATCACAAATTCATCAGCTGATATCAGCCATGCTGGTTAACACTTGTTAGCTTTGGCCAGGCAGAAGATGGTTAGAGGTCTAAGAAAAGGTGCAAATCCAACCTAAGAGTTGGTATTTGTGGACGGCGTCACTCCAGAGGACGTCCCAGTCGTCTCATTGCACATTTACCTCCTGCTCAGTTCACCAGAGTCCCAAACATGAGCCTCACAAACAGGCGAAGCTTGAAGGATTATTTGTGGGTTTAAATTAAAAAGGAAAACAGTAGCGATGGCACAATCTTGGATCATTATTGGCTGTGGAAGGCACATGAGGATGGAGATTAGCTTCCAGACGAAGATAAAATGTTAAATAAACCTAGTTCTCTAAAAAGAGCCGATCAAGAAGATCGATAGTCACAGAAATCACGAATTCCCTTTTGTAAAGAAAACATTCTCTGTCATGAGTTGGCTTACACAGCTAGTGTGTGTGTGTGTGCGTGCGTGCGTGTGTGTTATTTTTTACTGAACCCATGTGAAGTAAGCTACCTCATCCAGATCGACAGGATAGTCAGTGAGGTACATGGGACCTTTATCAAAATGTTCTCCCTTATAGCTCATCCATCGTCCTGCAGGCAGGTAGATGTCCCTCTCTTGCTTCCCAGGCTCCAACACCGGAGCCACCATCAGGTCATCACCGATCAGAAACTGGGAGTCGATCTTAAAGGCCGCCTCGTCGTCGTTGGCGATCCACCAGAGGGGCCTTATAATTGGGTCTCCAGTATCAAGAACCTCGCCTGCCAGCTCAAGAACCCTTGGAGCCACCAGCTTTTCATGGAGTTGTGTGAACTTCTGAGCTATCTGTACCACCTGGAGACAAATGTACATGTTTGCTGAGTCAGAATGACGGTCTTTATATCAGAATAGTTGTCAGTTAATACACAACCATAAGAGTTCTTCTTCATTCTGTTGCTTTTGATCACAAATTAATGTTTTATGACCCAAAAAGTATATTTTATGCTGAATGTGGATTTATTTCTACTTCTTTGTGTAGGAAAATGGAGGAAATTAAGAAGAAAAAGAAGAAGAAAAAGAAAAAAGAAGGAGAAAAAGAAGATAAGAAGAAGAAGAAAAAGAAAATGAAAAAAGAAGAAAAAGAAGAAGAAAAAGAAATTAAAGCTGCAAGCAGCGTCGTTCGGCCCTCGCAGCTCCGCGCCGCTCCGGCCTGGCCGGCAGCCCGGGGCACCAGGCTACGTCTGCGAAACAGAAACATCGACCACCCCGACACCCGAAACTGCTAACGGCCACCTCGTCCGCACCTCACCCTGACTCAGCATCCCCTTTGAGCCCACCATTATATTTTATGTCTCACCACTAGGGAATCCTCTATCTTAACCACACTGGTGATGTGATGACAGTGACCAACTTTAATGCTATTCTGACCATGTTTTTTAAAGTTTTTGAAGGATAACGTTATCTAGGGGGCGCTGTGACCAACTACAGAAAAGTCCCATTGAGGTCAGCTTTGGTGACATTATATAACATTCACCAACCGTTTGTGCCTCATTGGCTAAAGGGCATGATTGTTCATTGCCATGTTCAGTCTCGGGCAAATCGGAGGCCGTTTGTGGAAGTTACAGTCAAATATACGGTCATGGCGTCATGCCAGCATTCACCATGGCATCAAATCCCCTCCCTTTCTGGAAAGCTATCAGATCTGAATGGTCATTACAACATCATGAAGACAGTGTATGGCCTTAGTGTCATGTTCACTAAATTAGATGGGACAAATATGGGTATTTCACCATAAAACAATATACTTCCTGTTGTCAGGGGGCGTGGCTTAGGTGATGTCAGCTGTCCACATTGTCGTTGTCTTGAGATGTGGTCAGTGATCACACAGACAAAGTTTGAAATAGATCTGTTCATGCACTTGGGAGTTATTAAGTCATGTAATGTAATGGCGAAAGGTTAAAGTTTGAGGCTTAGCCACGCCCACACCTTTCAACTTTTGAAAAATCCGACGGTTGAATTTTTTCCTCTATGTCTTAAGAGTATATAGCAGAAATTTGAAGGAGATTGGTGAAAAGGACGATGGAGCATCACTGTCCATACAATGTGTGAGAAAACCACTAAATCGAGTATTTGGACCAAAATGGCCGACTTCCTGTGCGACTTTGCGCTTGGCTCCAGGAGACTTTTTTGTAGGTCCTGAGACACCACATTAGTGTACCAAATTTCGTAAACCTCAGTCAAAGCTTGGCTTGGGGCTGACAGTTTTAATGGCTCTAGTGGGCGCTATTTGAGAAAATAGGCCACGCCCACAAACACAGCTGTGAATTTCTCTTGGGGGTCAGAATAGGATCACTCACCAGAAGTTTAGTAGCAATATCACGATAACTGAAGAAATGAGAGGCAAACGTATTGCCATGGCGTGATGGCGATTTTCGCCATGCTCCCAAAGCCCCGCCTTTTTTCGAAACCTGCCAGTACTGCATACCAAGTGATCTCAAGTGGTCTACTGCTATTTGCCTGAGATTCCTGGTGATTGGGTAAAAGGAGTCCAATAGGGAGCTGTGAAAATAAGAGTGGCATGGCGAAAGGTCAAAGTTTGAGGCTTAGCCACGCCCACACCTTTCAACTTTTGAAAAATCCGACGGTTGAATTTTTTCCCCTACGTCTTAAGAGTATATAGCAGAAGTTTGAAGGAGATTGGTGAAAAGGGCGACGGAGCATCACTCTCCAAACAACGTGTGCGAAAACCACTAAATCGCGCACTTGGACCAAAATGAACGACTTCCTGTGCGTTTTTGCCCTTGGCTCCAAGAGACTTTTTTGTAGGTCCTGAGACACCACATTAGTGTACCAAATTTCGTAATCCTCAGTCAAAGCATGGCTTGGGGCTGACAGTTTTAATGGTCCTAGGGGGCGCTATTTCAGACAATTGGCCACGCCCACACATTTTAGCTGTCCATTTCTATTGGGGGTCAGACTAGGATCACTCACAACAAATTTCGAGGTGATATCTCGATAACTTAAGAAATGAGAGGCAAACGTATTTCCATGGCGTGATGGCGATTTTCGCCATGCTCCCAAAGCCCCGCCTTTTTTCGAAACCTGCCAGTACTGGAGACAAAGTAACCTCAACTTGTCTACTGCTGTTTGCCACAGAATCCTGGTGTTTGGGTAAAAGGAGTCCAGTAGGGAGCTGTGAAAAAAGAGTGGCGTGGCGAAAGGTCAAAGTTTGAGGCTTAGCCACGCCCACATCTTTCAACTTTTGAAAAATCCGACGGTTGAATTTTTTCCCCTATGTCTTAAGAGTATATAGCAGAAGTTTGAAGGAGATTGGTGAAAAGGGCGACGGAGCATCACTCTCCAAACAACGTGTGCGAAAACCACTAAATCGCGCACTTGGACCAAAATGGCCGACTTCCTGTGCGTTTTTGCCCTTGGCTCCAAGAGACTTTTTTGTAGGTCCTGAGACACCACATTAGTGTACCAAATTTCGTAATCCTCAGTCAAAGCATGGCTTGGGGCTGACAGTTTTAATGGTCCTAGGGGGCGCTATTTCAGAAAATTGGCCACGCCCACAAATTTTAGCTGTCCATTTCTATTGGGGGTCAGACTAGGATCACTCACAACAAATTTCGAGGTGATATCTCGATAACTTAAGAAATGAGAGGCAAACGTATTTCCATGGCGTGATGGCGATTTTCGCCATGCTCCCAAAGCCCCACCTTTTTTCGAAACCTGCCAGTACTGGAGACAATGTAACCTCAACTTGTCTACTGCTGTTTGCCACAGAATCCTGGTGTTTGGGTAAAAGGAGTCCAGTAGGGAGCTGTGAAAAAAAGAGTGGCGTGGCGACAGGTCAAAGTTTGAGGCTTAGCCACGCCCACATCTTTCAACTTTTGAAAAATCCGACGGTTGAATTTTTTCCCCTATGTCTTAAGAGTATATAGCAGAAGTTTGAAGGAGATTGGTGAAAAGGGCGACGGAGCATCACTCTCCAAACAACGTGTGCGAAAACCACTAAATCGCGCACTTGGACCAAAATGGCCGACTTCCTGTGCGACTTTGCACTTGGCTCCAAGAGACTTTTTTGTAGGTCCTGAGACACCGCATTAGTGTACCAAATTTCGTAATCCTCAGTCAAAGCATGGCTTGGGGCTGACAGTTTTAATGGTCCTAGGGGGCGCTATTTCAGAAAATAGGCCACGCCCACCGGATGTTCACATCAGATATTTTGTGGGGGAGGACTAGGATCACTCACAAGAAGTTTCGTGGCGATATCTTTAGAAGTGACGAAATGGGAGGCAAACGTAAGGCCACGGCAGTACGCCTGACTTCGCCGCGCCGCCACAGCCCCGCCCTCTGCCGAAAACTCCCATGAAGTGACACAAAGCAACCCCCACTTGTCTTGAGTTACCAGCTACAAATTTGTGGTGATTGAGTGAAATGGGGCCATTTGGGACCTTTCACAGTAAAACTTGACCTTTTTGGTCCTGAGGGGGCGGGGCTTGTGTGATGTCATCATCCGACTATTCAACTTACTTTGTGGGTGGATGACAAATGACCACAGAAAGTTTGGTAACTCTACTCCATTCAGTTATGAAGTTATAGCAATTTAAATTTTTTTGGCGAGTAGTCAAACTTCGAGGCCTTGCCCCGCCCCTTCAACATATACGAAAAGTCAGAATCCTTGTCTCATTTTGTTCGCCCATCCCTTCTGAGCAATTTTACACAATTTTTGAGTTGATCGTGCGAAAAATGATCGAGCAATCCAATCAGAAACGGACCCTAAAAACGGCAAAAACGGCTAAAAATCGCCATTTCAACCCAAAATGGCCGACTTCCTGTTTGATATTGACCATGCTTGCAAGAGACTTTTCTGTGCGGACTGTTGAGTACTACAAGTGTACCAAATTTCATAACTGTACGATAAACTAAGCTTTATGGAGAGGGGTTTTTTTCACTTTCTAGGGGGCGCTGTTCAGCCATTTTCTTTGCGATTTTTTTGGGACCTTTAAAATATCAAATTTTTCACCAGGCCTGACAAGTTTGCAAAATATTGTGAGTTTTGGGGTATGTTAAGGTCCCCAAAAAGCTGTTCAAAGGGGGCACGGAATAACAAAAAATAATCAGAGCAAAAACAAGAGGCCTTCGCAGCGCTTTCGCTGCTCGGGCCTAAAAAGAAGAAGAAAAAAGAAGAAAAAGAAAAAAGAAGAAGAAGAAAAAGAAAAAAGAAGAAAATGAAAAAGAAAAAAGAAGAAGAATTAAAGCTGCAAGCAGCGTCGTTCGGCCCTCGCAGCTCCGCGCCGCTCCGGCCTGGCCGGCAGCCCGGGGCACCAGGGCACGTCCGCAGAACACAAACGTCGACCACCCCAACACCAGAAACTGCTAACGGCCACCTTGTCCGCAACTCACCCTGACTCAGCATCCCCTTTGAGCCCACCATTATATTTTATGTCTCACCACTAGGGAATCCTCTATCTTTACCACACTGGTGGTGTGATGACAGTGACCAACTTTAATGCTATTCTGACCATGTTTTTTAAAGTTATCGAAGGATAACGTTATCTAGGTGGCGCTGTGACCAACTACAGAAAAGTCCCATTGAGGTCAGCTTTGGTGACATTATATAACATTCACCAACCGTTTGTGCCTCATTGGCTAAAGGGCATGATTGTTCATTGCCATATTCAGTTTCGGGCAAATCGGAGGCCGTTTGTGGAAGTTACAGTCAAATGTAAGGTCATGGCGTCACGCCAGCATTCACCATGGCATCAAAGCCCCTCCCTTTCTGGAAAGCTATCAGATCTGAATGGTCTTTAAAACATCATGAAGACACTGTATGACCTGAGTGTCAT